TTTGGGGCCAACACGCCAGAAGGACCATCTACTCCCTTATGAACTTGCCTGATGACTATTGTCATCTTCAGAGGCCCTGTTTTGGGCAACCCCCACCAGGGGTCGTTTCGTAGAAAAAGAGCTAGGGGAACTCATTAGCATAACTCATTAGCATATGCCACACCCCCTGACATCACCGGAAGGGTGTCATAAGGCCACACACCCCGCCCCCAACGGTCCCGGCCACCACCGGCCTTGCAGCTCCCCTGCCTAGCCCCATGAGGGGCCTGGCGGTGGACCTGCAAGGCCGGCGGGAGTGCAAGGAAGCCCCGCGAAGGCCCTCCCTGGCCCCAGGCAGGCAGGGGTGGGGAGAGGCAGGGAGGAAGCAACTTACCCTCCCTCTTCTCCTGCCTCCTCCTGGCTGAATGAGGGCTGGAAGCAGGGCGGCCGGAAGCAGGGGGCGGGGCTTCGTCATGTGCCCCGCTCCCCGTACCTCACCCGGGGGAACTGCGATCCCCCGCGTTTCCCCCCGAAATGACCTCTGACCCCCACCCTCTGAGATCAGGCAAGTGGCAACACAGGAGAGGGCCTTCTCAGTCATGGCACCAAAGCTCCGGAACGTTCTCCTCAAGGAGATTCGTCTGTCCCATTCTGTTGCTATCGTCCACCAGCTAGTGAAGAATTGTGGGGGGTTTTTTTTGTTTCATTTGGCATTCCTTCAGTGGTCCCTCCTTCCCAATCAATGTTTTAATTGCTGCGTTTGTGTTTTGCATTCATTTTGTTTTTTTAAATTGTTTTAATTACATGCATTTAGGGAGAGTTGATTTGAATGGTTTCAGAATGTCATTTTCGTCACGCGTGTTTTAAATTGTTAGCGGCCTCGGTGGCCCTTGTAAGGGCAGCGAGGCGGGAGACCGATTGTGCAAATAAAGAAGCAAAACAAGACGGAGTCTGATTACCATCTTCATACTCAAAGGTCATTATACTGTCGTATTGGAGCCCACAGATTCCAGCACTCAGAGTTAGTAAAAGTCATCACAAGTACCAATCTTAAACGAACATTCGTATACTTGGTACCGAATCATTTACATGTACGAAACACGTATTCCTGGTATGAGAAATAGATACAGCTAGAGCTCTATTATTCTGCAAACATTTATTAACAATGGAAGGCCAATATGTGACTGAATTTTAACAACAAAAAAAGGATGACTGGATCCTTAAAAAGCTAAAATGAATAGGGCCTGAGCAAAGTTCGAGACCAGTGGCACCTTTAAGACAAACGAAGTTTTATTCAAGGTATAAACTTCCGTGTGCATGCACGCTTCTTCAGATACACCGAAATGGAAGTTACCGATTAGGGTTGCCGGGTCCCCTGGTCAATCAGGCTGGGGGATTTGGGGGTGTTCCAAGGGTGGGCACGGATGCCCCCAAGCTGCGGCCGCCCACGGCCACCCCTCTCCCTCCCTGCTGGCCCCGCCCACTTTCCCAAAACAACTGGTGGGCAATGCTCCCTCTAAGCTGTGGCGTCTTGTGAGCAAAAATTCTACTTTGTGAGCGACTGGCATCAAAGTTGTGAGCGAGCCATTTGGCCACTGCATACATTAGTTTGCTCTTCAGCCCTCCTTCCCGAGCTAAGACAAAAACGTGTGAGCCGGAGGCTAAAAAGCTGTGAGCTAGATCACACTAACTCAGCTTAGGGGGAACACTGCTGGTGGGCACCTGGAAAGGGGGCAGTGGTCGCCGTTGCACCCACCGGCACCACGCTGGGGTCCCCAGAACTAAGTTAACCTAACTTTTTTATCCCAGGCCATTAAAATGCCTGTTCAAAACAGCATGTCTTTAATGATCTCCGGAAGATGTCTGAGTTATGAATTTAGTTAGAATCTCTTGTGAAAGAAAACTCCAGAGGTGGGAACTGGTCTAGCTGAATGGCCTTTAGCCCCATCTTTGTGCACAGAAGACATTCACAAAAAGCTGCTCCCAGCTCTCCAGGACAGACTATAGAGATTCAGGGATATAGGGTGGTGGGATATAGGGAGGAGGCAGTCTTAAGGCTTTTGTTAGCTCTGAGAACAGGCTTCCTCGGGAGGTGGTGGGCTCTCCTTCTTTGGAGGCTAGATGGCCATCTGAGGGCAATGCTGATTCTGTGAACTTAGGCAGATCATGAGAAGGGAGGGCAGGAAGGGTTGCCTCAGTGCTTAGTTCTCGTGGCCCTTTCTTACATGCCCAGGGAAATGCTGATTGCCACTTTGGGGTCAGGAAGCAATTTTTCTCCAGGCCAGTTTAGCTGGAGATCCTGGAGGTTTTTTTGTCATCTGCTGGGCATGGAGTCATTGTGTATGTATGTGTGGGGGGGAGGTATTTGTGAATTTCCTGCATTGTGCAGGGGGTTGGACTAGATGACTCTGGAGGTCCCTTCCAACTCTATGATTCCATGTTTCTGTGGATATAGAAAAAAAAGTGCTGTTGGGTTACACAGAAAAACCTTTCCATGTATTTTTGCCTCTGTATCCCTAGCAAAGCAGAATGATTACCGTCATCCCTTAAATCTCAAAGCCAGTTTAAAAAAAAAATGCCAACTGTGAAAATGTTGTTTATCATATTAAGATATATTTTTGATGAGGGCTGGGGGGGGGGAGAGGAAGAGAACCTGTGGGTAGATTATAAGCGTAACATAATGGAAGCCGCCAGCGCTTGCCAACGGATCTGAGCCAGAGAAAATAACTCAGAGATATTGTCATCTGTGGGCCAATTTATATTGTCAGACAGCGGGTTTCACATTAGTCTCCGATGCCAGTGCAATAATGGCATATTGTAAGGCTGAAGCGTACAATGCCTACGGGGAGTAGCTCATCCCTTTTTCATAGGCGTATTTCAAGATCCATTCAAAAGCGAGGCCTTAATAATAATAAAAAAAAACAGAGAGAGAGAGAGAGAGAGAGAGAGAGAGAGAGAGAGAGAGGAAAACACAAAGACAACGTACGGAGAACATAAACCCGTTTTCTTTTACTGGGCCACTGGAAGGCACCACCAATTTGCTGATTTTGTTGGAGCATAATTAAAAATACACTAACGATGCACCGATGGCAGCGTGGGAGGGGGGTTTGTCATTCTTTTATGAGCCACGAAAATTTCAAACGAGGGAAGGCAAGGGGGGGGGAGAGAAAAAGCTTTTAGCAGTTTTGCAGGGGAGGCATAACAGACATCTGTTCTCTGATTTGCTGACTTCTCCGGCATCATGTTAAGTTAGGATACCAGCATGGCGGGTCACCCGGCGGGAGCGACCTTTTATTAATCACCGTACATCACTTACTACTGGCACGCAGCTGGTTATGAAGCAGCCGTCTAACTCGCTGCCTTTCAAAGGCGCTTTATACTTTCTCCCTTTGTCTTTCTTCTCCGCCACTTTCTTCTTCTTGCCCCTCCCCTCTGCACCCCCGGACCAAAAAAAGAAGAATCAAACGCTTTAATGCAAGAATCCTCTGCTTTGTAATATTGTGGGCTAAGTCTGTAATATTTGCTTTTAAAGTCACTTAGTTAATTTCCCACGATTAATTTCCCATGATTATAAAAAGAGACCCAGCAGCCTGGATTTTTTTAAAAAAGGTAAGGCCCAGTAATCTCAGGTTTTGTTAAGAATGTCACAACACTTTTTAACAGCTGCTACTTATTATCAAAATAGGCCGAGGCTATCATTAATTTTGATTGCTCGGAACTGGCAGAAACTTCTCGCTCGAGATCAGACACACATGGCCTCTCGCTGTTGGTCTCCTGCGACGTGTTAAGGGACCGGCATGGGAACGGACATTTCCACGGATATGAAGAAAAATAGTGAACATTTACGACTGGCAAAGGCTCTAAAGCAGGGGTCATTTCCTGCAGGAGCGCACAGGAGCGGAGCTCCGGCAGTAAAGAGCCCAGGGGGCAGGCACATGCAACAAGTCCCGCCCCCTGCTCCCAGCCATGAGGAGCAAGAAGCAGTGATGTCAGGGGTGTGTGGCATAGGCAAATGAGTTATCATAATGAGTTATGCTAATGAGCTCCTGCACGTCTTTTTCTACGAAATGACCCCTGCTCTAAAGTAAAGAGACATACAGACCATTTCACACATTCCATTTTGTTTTTAGAGGGAGACCTGACATACTTTCAGTGTACGCCAGAAAACCTTCGGAATGAAGACCACAAACCTGTAAATCATAGAGACACACGCCTGTATACACGTTCTAGATGGGCTCGAACGACACATGAAACTGGGAGTTCTGTGATGGGAACTCCGAAACACATTTCTTTCTGAATCATGGGGCTGTGTTGATTTGGACCAGGATGACAGTGTGTGTGTTGGGTGTAAACCTCCCCCCCGATGCCGTTTCCCAGACGTGATCCACTCTGCAGAGATGTTGGCAAAACTGATACCAAGTCGATATGGTAACCCTACCTTAAAGCTTCAAATTGGCTGTACTAGCCTGGTGTAGTTGGTTGGGCTGAGGGAGGCAAATTCAAAGCTCCACTCTGCCATGTAGCTTGCTGGGGACAGTCACACTCTTTCAGATGGACCTACCTAACAGGGTCGTTGTTGGGAGAATAAAATGGAGGGAAGGAAGAATGATGCCAGCCACCATGACTTCCATGGAGAAAGGGCACGATCAAAACGTGGTAAATAAATAAACAAACTTCAGCCAGTGGAAGTATGTACTTTGAGGTCCAATCTTGGAAATACATGGAATTGAAAGGAGGAGGAGGAGGAGGAGGAGGAGATTGGATTTATACCCTGCTTTTCACTACCCAAAGGAGTTTCAAAGCGGCTTACAATCTCCTTTCCCTTCCCCTCTCCACAACAGACACCCTGTGAGGTAGGCGGGGCTGAGGGTGCTCTTTCGAGGACTGCTCATGAGAGAACAGCTCTGAGAGAACTTGTGACTGACCCAAAGTCATACCAGCTGGCTGCATGTGGAGGAGTGGGGAATCAAACCCGGTTCTCCCAGATTAAGAGTCCGCGCTCCTAACCACCAATTTGGTTTGGGGTCATGGCTCAGTGGTAGAGCATTCGCTTGTCAAGCCGGAGGTCCCAGGTTCAATCCCTGGCGTCTTCAATCAAACTTGAGAGTCTGAAGAGCCACTGCCAGTCTGGGTAGACAATACTGACCTTCGCGGACCAACAGTCTGATTCAGTATAAGGCAGGTTTATGGGAAGAATGTGGAGGAGTCTGCCAAAATGTGAGGCCTACACTACTCGGGACTCTACCACCTGCTTCAACGAAAGGAGGGAAAGCTTAAAAATGCCCCAGATGGTGCATCTTGGCTGACAGTCTCTCTCCCCGCCCCACCCTCCCAAATGGATGAACCCCCCCCCTTAAATGATGACTCACCAGCCATTTGTTGAATGCCGCTGAAGGCACCCAAGTTACTGGAGGAGGTCGCTTGCTGCAGAAGCTACGGAATTAATAAACAGCAACAAGAGCGTTAATGAGGTTAATCGCGCAACAAGTTAAAAAGATTTAAAAACAAAAATTATCTGAATCAAATTAAATTTGGGATACTTATAGTTTCCTTTACATTTATACAGTCTCTTGCTTCTGCCTGGTGTTGGAATGAAGGTCCCCAGAGTCGATGCTGTAAATCCATATTAATGTCTAATCTCTATTAAGAAACACACAGACACTGGGGAAACTCAATAACATTGCTGCTTTAAAACAATTAATCAATTTACTCTTTTTAACAGCCAGGTGTTAAATCTATTTCAGCCCAACATAGCGTGACTAATCATCGCCCTCCGCAGTTTAGCGGTTACCATAACTCATCTTCTGTCAATCAGGGTCTGTTTCCCACCTCCCCGCTTAAAACACACAGGGGCTCACTTCCTCCACATCACTTGATGGCATGCGGTCGTGCTAGACCCCCGAGTGACGCCGAATTGAGGGACAGGAGGGCCCTATCACATTCTCTGATCTTTGCGTCATGCTTTCCCGGAGTGGCTGCTCTCATCCAGGCGCACTGAAGCCGTGGGCTGAGTTCACACATGACCCTGGGAGGACTATAACACCCAGCAATTACTTGCACAGACGAATGGGCCGACACCCGTGCCAGAAAGAATTTCCCCAAGCAGTGCAAAGGCACTGCCTTTCAAGGGAGGCAAATCACCCATCCCGGCCACAGCCTGTTGTCAGGTGGGTTGGAGAGGAGATTGGGTTTATACCCTGCCCTTCACTACCAGAAGGAGTCTCAGAGCGGTTTACAATCTCCTTCCCCTTCCCACAACAGACACCCTGTGAGGTAGGTGGGGCTGAGAGAGCTCTTTTGAGGACTGCCCATGAGAGAACTTGTGACTGACCCAGAGTCACACCAGCAGCTGCATGTGGAGGAGTGGGGAATCAAACCCAGTTCTCCCAGATTAAAGTCTACGCTCCTATCCACTACACCAAACTGGCTGGTTCACGCACTTGTGACCATCCCCTGGTAACTGCCACCAACATCCAGTGATTGTTTGCATGTGTATAAAATGGTCCCGAACACAGAGGTGGGATTTTCACGGCAACGCAAAGCACTGCCTGCCAATGTTCCCTCTAAGCTGCAGAGCCATGTGAGCAAAAATTCTAACTTGTGAGCTACGGGCATTAAAAGTTATGAGGGAGCAATTTGGCTACTGGATAAATTAGTTTGCTCTGGAGCCATCCTTCCTGAGCTGAGACAAAAATGTGTGAGCCGGAAGCTAAAAAAACTGTGAGCTAGCTCGCACTAACTCAGCTTAGAGGGAACAATGCTGCCTGCCAAAGGGCAGCAGATCAAGCATCCCGCTGGCTCACACATGCACAAAGTCCTGACGCCAGGTAATGACTTGCATGTCTGTTGCCCTGTTTTGATTGCAACCCTTTTTCAAATTGGAGACCATTCGCACATACAGCTGCTGGTCATTGAGCGAGATTCGTTCATGTGTGAACCAGAGCCCAGCAACAGAGGTAGAGAGAGTTATGGACTCATGGGATCTGCAGTCCCTTTGGACGTTATATCTTGTCTGACTGCTCTACTTTGTGCGGAGCAGTTTACTAGGGTTCTGAAATCCCACACCACTGGGAGCCGGGGTAGCATTTTTTTGCAATGGCTTTCAAGGTACACAGAAGTCTTCACTGGGAAACTTCCCCTAAAGCAATTAGAACATTCACCCCACCCAAAGATATGGCCAAACCACTTTTCGTCATCACTGCTGTGGCTTCAACTTTCTATAACAACATGACAAGGGATCATGCTCTATGTTCCCAACAGTGCCTAGGTGCATAACTCACGGGTACCCAATGAAGCTAGCGGGCAGTAGGTTCAGGACAGACAAAACAAAATACTTCTTTATCCAATGAGTACACTGTCGGATGCATTGCCGGTGGACGTACTGATGGCCATGAGCATAGATGGATTCAAGAGGGGGTTAAGCAGATAAGAAGAGAGGTCCATCCATGATTGTTAGCCATGGACCTAAAGGGACTCTCCGCATTCATAGCCAGCAAAGCTCTGAAAGCCAATGCTAGGAGGCAGCATTAGAGAAGGACTTGGTCTCTACACCGTGTGTTTGCCCACCGGGGCGACTGGTTGGCCGCTGTGTGAAACAGGATGCTGGACTTGATGGACCACTGGACTGATCTGGCGGGGGATATTCTTCTGGTGAAGGAGAACGATCATAAAGGCACCAAGCACAAGACCAACCCCACTCTGAAACAACTACCCTTTAACAGGGATCCCATCTGGACGCCGACTTTGCTCTGTACCTGCATCTTATCTCCGTGCAGGATTCTAGTCCCAAATGCAGAGAAATTAGGTTGAAAGGGAATGCCTGGTGAAAGCTGAGCAGCTAGAGTCCAGTAGCACCTTAAAGGCTGCAATCACACGCAGAATTAGCCATGCCGTAGGTGCAAATGCCGGGCGGATTTTAAGGGCGCGATCAGATGCAAACATCTGGGAAGCGTCCCGCACCCATCGGCTACCCGTTTTGCTCTGCCGCAGAAGCGGGGTACAAAGACACCGGGGAAAGTCCGGTAGCAAACGGGTTGCTACGGGCCAGAAACGGACTCCCCCCTGTGTGATTGCTCCAGCGCGCTCCCATGGCATCGGGATGGTCTGATCAGGCCATCCCGACTCCATGCCATTGTTTGTTTCCACGTTTCGGTATGTGCATCATCGCACACTGCATAGGGAGCACTCAGTGCGGAGATGCAAATAATCGATCCCTCGCTGAAGCGCACTGAAAAAACGTGGCAACCCCCCCGATTCACCCGCGGTCACTTCTGATCACGCAGTGGCGGGCTGCCCCCGCAGCTCCCAGGGACTGTGTGATCGCGCAACTGTGGGTCAAATTCCTACGGAGCAAATAGCCTCACTTCTCCCACCCACCATGTTATCTTGCGTGTGTGATTAACAAAATTTGTGGCAGGCCACAAATCAACAAAATCTGTGTTATTCTTTAAGGTGCTTCTGGACTCTTGCTCTTTTCTACTATTTACATTGGGTTGGCGCCTGTGGTGACTTTCCCGCCAAATCTTCCATGAGTTAAAAAAGACTTCCCCCATCTGAGAAAATCTTTCTCCGCTGGAAGAGGCCTTTTCTCCATCAATGGAAAACTAAGCAGAGGGATTTCCGGGATCTAACTTAACTTGGACCACTTCCGCAGTAGTGAAATTCCTGGCACCGAATGTTTTAAAACTGTGCGTTATGTGACATTTCCTGCAGTAGGTTTTTCTACTGAACAGCAACCCTTATAACCTTCGCTTGTTATTTATTTTTGTCTTCGCCTATCTTAGAACATCTTCATCACGTTACATGTTCATTTGCTGTTCAGCCCCTGTCTGTAAGTTTAGACCCTTACCTTCCATGCCAATGTAGCTGGAAAAAGTGTGCATGCGCATGGAAGTTCGTACCTTGAATAAAGGTAAAGGTAAAGGTTCCCTTGCTCGAAAGCCAGTCGAATCTGACTCTAGGGTTGCGGTGCTCATCTCCGTTTCAAAGCCGAAGAGCCAGCGCTGTCCGAAGACGTTTCCGTGGTCATGTGGCCGGCATGAATAAACACCAAGGTGCACGGAACGCTGTGATCTTCCCACCGAAGTGGTACCTATTTATCTACTTGCAATTTCTTGCTTTCGAACTGCTAGGTTGGCAGGAGCTGGAACTAGAGACGGGAGCTCACTCCGTCATGCGGCACACCCGGGTCTCGAACTGCTGAACTACCGACCTTCCACAGCCTGCAGTTCAGCGTCTTAACCACTTGAGCCACCACAGCGCCTTACCTTGAATAAGTTGGTCTTAAAGGTCTTTGTTGGCCTTAAAGGTGCCACCGGACTCTAAATTTGTGAATTTGTGGCTAGAGCGCTGTTCACAGGACACTTTAAAAGCTGTGCAGCTGAGCCCAGTGTGTCTATCTAGTCACTGCCGCTCTCCAAGGAGTCGATAAGAGGGAGCAGATGTGGCTCAGCGACAGAGCATCTGCCTGGCACGTCGAAGGCCCCAGGACCTGGCGGTAGGTGATGTGAAAGGCCTCCAGAGCCACTGCCAGTCAGAGACTAGACAATACTGTTTGTGATGGACCAAGGGTCTGATTCAGTATGAGGCAGATGCATGTGTTCACGAAGTCTCTGCCCATCCTGCCACCTGCAATGCTGAAGATATTGAGAAGAGAGTCCAGGGCTATTTGGGGGCAGGAACGCACAGGAACGGAGTTCCGGCTGGCTCCTGACTTGGCCACGCCCAGCAGGAACTCATTAGCATAATAGGCCACACCCAACAGCAGAAACTCATTAGGATTGGCTACGTTAGGGGTGTGTGGCCTAACATGCAAAGGAGTTCCTGCTACAAAAAAAGGCCCTGGGTTTTGACAACAAAGTAAACAGAATAAGAAGCGAAAGTTGGGTGTGGTTGGATGACCACACTTCTGGTAACATGTGGCGTGTAGCCTAATAGGCTAATGAGCTGTGCTGTCAGGGGTGTGGCCTAATATGCTAATTGTTTCTGCTGTTGGGTGTGTCCTATTATGCTAATGAGTTCCTGCTGGGCTTTTTCTACCAAAAAAGCCCTGAGAGAGTCTGAGGACTTCTGTGTGTAAGCACACGCTCCGCTA